GGGCTGGGATGTCCCCTGATGGGATCAGGATATAAATAAATGGGATAAATGGGATTGGGGCCAGAATGTCCCCTGATGGATTGGAGCTGGGATGTGCCGTGATGGGACTGGGGCCAGGATGTGCCTGGGATGGGATGTGCCCTGATGGGATCGGGGCTGGGATGTCCCCCTGACGGGATCAGTGTTGGGATGTGCCCTGATGGGATTGGGGCCATCTCTTGGTGGGATTGGGATGTCCCTGGGTTGGGATGTGCCCTGATGAGGTCGGGGTTGGGATGTGCCCTGATGAGATTGGGATGTCCCTGGGTTGGGATGTGCCCTGATGAGGTCGGGGTTGGGATGTCCCCTGATGGGATTGGGGCCAGGATGTCCCCTGATGGGATGGGAATGTTCCCTGATGGGATCAGGGCCAGAATGTTCTCTGATGGGATCAGGGTTGGGGTCAGGTCAGGATGTCCCTAAGCCAGGATTGGGGCTGGGATGTGCCCTAATGGGATGGGGATGTCCCCTGATGAGATGGGGATGTGCCCTGATGGGATTGGGGCCGGGATGTCCCTGATGGGATGGGGATGTCCCCTGATGGGATGGGGACGTCCCTGGGCTGGGATGTACCCTGATGAGGTCGGGGTTGGGATGTGTCCTGATGGGCTGGGGCCATCCCTGATGGGATTGGGATGTCCCTTGGTTGGGATGTGCCCTGATGGGATTGGGACGTCCCTGGGCCGGGATGTGCCCTGATGGGATTGGGATGTCCCTGGGTTGGGATGTGCCCTGATGGGATCGGGGTTGGGATGTGCCCTGATGGGATTGGGATTTCCTTTGGTTGGGATGTGTCCTGATGGAGTCGGGATGTCCCTGGGCTGGGATGTGCCCTGATGGGATCAGGGTTGGGATATGTCCTGATGGGCTGGGGCCATCCCTGATGGGATTGGGACGTCCCTGGGTTGGGATGTGCCCTGATGGGCTGGGGCCATCTCTTGGTGGGATTGGGATGTCCCTGGGTTGGGATGTGCCCTGATGTGATCGGGGTTGGGATGTTCCCTGATAGGATTGGGATTTCCCTTGGTTGGGATGTTCCCTGATGGGATTGGGATTTCCCTTGGTTGGGATGTTCCCTGATGGGCTGGGGCCATCCCTGATGGGGTTGGGATGTCCCTGGGTTGGGATGTGCCCTGATGGGATTGGGATTTCCCTTGGTTGGGATGTGCCCTGATGGAGTCGGGATGTCCCTGGGCTGGGATGTGCCCTGATGGGATCGGGGTTGGGATGTGTCCTGATGGGCTGGGGCCATCCCTGATGGGATTGGGATGTCCCTTGGTTGGGATGTGCCCTGATGGGATCAGGGTTGGGATGTGCCCTGATGGGATTGGGATGTCCCTGGGTTGGGACGTCCCTGCTGGGATCGGGGCCGTCCCCGGATCAATCCCTGCTGCACTCCCCGCTCTGCCCCAGGTGAACATGCTGGTGCTGGGCCGGCACCTGGGCATCCCCAAACCCTTCGGGCCCGTGGTGGGCGGGCGNCAAGCGGAGGAGGAAAATCATGGAGGTCATGAAAAAACCCCAAACCCAGGATTTCCCAGCTCCGTTTGGGGTTATGAAAAACCCCAAAACCAGGATTTTCCAGCCCCATTTGGAGTTGGTTCCAAGTGGAGGGGGAAAATCCCAAATCCAGGATTTCGCAGCCCTGTTTGGGGTCAGTTCCAAGCGGAGTAGGAAAACCTCAAATCCAGAATTTCCCAGCTCCATTTGGGGTCAGTTCCCAGAGAAGCAGGGAAACCCCAAACCCAGGAATTCCTGGCCCCGTTTGGGGTCAGTTCCCAGAGAAGCAGGAAAAACCCCAAACCAGGATTTCCTGGCCCTGTTTGGAGTTGGTTCCAAGCGGAGTAGGAAAACCCCAAACCCAGGATTTCCTGGCCCTGTTTGGGATCATGAAAAACCCCAAACCCAGGATTTTCTGACCCTGTTTGGGGTCAGCTATGAACGGAGCAGGGAAAACCCCAAACTCAGGATTTCCCGGCCCCATTTTGGGTTGGCTCCAAGTGGAGTCTCCCCAAAGCCCCAAACCCAGGATTTCCCAGCTCCATTTGGGGTCATGAAAAACCCCAAACCCAGAATTTCCTGGCCCTGTTTGGGGTCAGCTCCAAGCAGAGCATGAAAAACCCCAAAACCGGGATTTCCCAGCCCCATTTGGAGTTGGTTCCAAGCGGAGTAGGAAAACCCCAAACCCAGGATTTCCCGGCCCCATTTGGGGTCATGAAAAACCCCAAACCCAGGATTTCCCAGCCCCATTTGGGGTCGGTTCCGAGTGGAGCAGGGAAAACCCCAAACCCAGGAATTCCCAGCCCCGTTTGGGGTCAGCTCCAAGCAGAGCATGAAAAACCCCAAACCAGGATTTCCCAGCCCCATTTGGGGTTGGTTCCAAGCGGAGGAGGAAAACCCCAAATCCAGGATTTTCTGGCCCTGTTTGGGGTCGGTTCCGAGTGGAGCAGGAAAAACCCCAAACCCAGGATTTCCCAGCCCCGTTTGGGGTCAGCTCCAAGCAGAGTATGAAAAACCCCAAAACCAGAATTTCCCAGCCCCATTTGGGGTCATGAAAAACCCCAAAACCAGGATTTTCCAGCCCCATTTGGAGTTGGTTCCAAGTGGAGGGGGAAAATCCCAAATCCAGGATTTCCTGGCCCTGTTTGGGGTCAGCTACGAACGGAGCAGGGAAAACCCCAAACCCAGGAATTCCCGGCCCTGTTTGGGATCGGCTCCCAGCGGAGTCTCCCCAAAACCCCAAACCCAGGATTTCCTGGCCCCGTTTGGGGTCATGAAAAACCCCAAAACCAGGATTTTCCAGCCCCATTTGGAGTTGGTTCCAAGTGGAGGGGGGAAATCCCAAATCCAGGATTTTCTGGCCCTGTTTGGGGTCGGTTCCGAGTGGAGCAGGAAAACCCCAAACCCAGGATTTCCTGGCCCCATTTGGGAGACCGGAGGAGGAAAACCCCAAACCCAGGATTTCCCAGCTCNCCGCAGCTTCTCCTGCTCCGCCTCCGACTCGTCCCGGGCGATCACCAGGGAGTGCGAATAGCCCATGGCCACCTGGAACGGGAATGGGAATGGGTCAGGAACAGGAATAGCCCATGGGCACCTGGAATGGGAATGGGAATGGGTCAGCTGGGAATGGGAATAGCTCATGGACACCTGGAATGGGAGCGGGAATGGGTCAGCTGGGAATGGGAATAGCCCATGGCCACCTGGAATGGGAATGGGTCAGCTGGCAGTGGGAATAGCTCATGGACACCTGGAATGGGAATGGGTCAGCTGGGAATGGGAATAGCTCATGGCCTCCTGGAACGGGAATGGGAATGGGAATGAGAATAGCCCATGGCCACCTGGAACGGGAACGGGAATGAGAATGGGAATAGCCCATGGCCACCTGGAACGGGAGAGGGAACAGGAATGGGAATAGCCCATGGCCACCTGGAACGGGAAAGGGAATGGGAATGAGAATGGGAATAGCCCATGGCCACCTGGAATGGGAATGAGAATAGCTCATGGGCACCTGGAACGGGAACGGGAATGGGAATGGGAATGGGTCAGGAACAGGAATAGCCCATGGCCACCTGGAATGGGAATGGGAATGGGAATGAGAATAGCCCATGGCCACCTGGAATGGGAAAGGGAATGGGAACAGGAATGGGAATGGGAATAGCTCATGGCCACCTGGAATGGGAATGGGTCAGCTGGGAATGGGAATAGCCCATGGCCACCGGGAATGGGAATGGGAATGAGAATAGCCCATGGCCACCTGGAATGGGAATGGAAACAGGAATGGGAATGGGTCAGGAACAGGAATGGGAATAGCCCATGGGCACCTGGAATGGGAATGGGAACAGGAATGGGAATGGGAATAGCCCATGGCCACCTGGAATGGGAACAGGAATGGGAATGGGAATAGCCCATGGACACCTGGAATGGGAATGGGTCAGCTGGGAATGGGAATAGCTCATGGAAACCTGAAATGGGAACGGGAATGGGTCAGCTGGCAGTGGGAATAGCCCATGGCCACCTGGAATGGGAATGGGAATGAGAATAGCCCATGGCCACCTGGAACGGGAATGAGAATAGCTCATGGCCACCTGGAATGGGAAAGGGTCAGCTAGGAATGGGAATAGCCCATGGCCACCTGGAACGGGAGAGGGAACAGGAATGGGAATAGCCCATGGCCACCTGGAATGGGAAAGGGAATGGGTCAGCTGGGAGTGGGAATAGCTCATGGCCCCCTGGAACGGGAATGGGTCAGCTGGGAATGGGAATAGCCCATGGTTGCCTGGAATGGGAATGGGAACAGGAATGGGAATAGCCCATGGCCACCTGGAATGGGAATGGGAATAGCCCATGGCCACCTGGAACAGGAACAGGAATGGGAATGAGAATAGCTCATGGCCACCTGGAATGGGAACAGGAATGGGAATGGGAATAGCCCATGGCCCCCTGGAACGGGAATGGGTCAGCTGGGAGTGGGAATAGCCCATGGTTGCCTGGAACGGGAATGGGAACAGGAATGGGAATGGGTCAGGAACAGGAATGGGAATAGCCCATGGCCACCTGGAATGGGAACAGGAATAGCCCATGGGCACCTGGAATGGGAATGGGTCAGCTGGGAATGGGAATAGCCCATGGCCACCGGGAATGAGAATGGGAACGGGAATGAGAATAGCCCATGGGCACCTGGAACGGGAGAGGGAATGGGTCAGCTGAGAATGGGAATAGCCCATGGCCACCTGGAATGGGAATGGGTCAGCTAGGAATGGGAATAGCCCATGGTTGCCTGGAATGGGAATGGGAACAGGAATGGGAATGGGAATAGGCCATGGCTGCCTAGAATGGGAATGGGTCAGGTGGGAATAGCCCACAGAGACCTGGAATGGGAATGGGTCAGGTGAGAGTGCGAACAGCCCATGGCTGCCTGGAATGGGAATGGGTCAGCTGGAATACCCATGGAACTGGGAATGGGGCAGCTGGGAGTGGGAACGCCCATGGAACTGGGAACTGAACTGGGAAGGGTCACCCAGGAGCGGACACTGCCCATGGAAAAGGGAAAGGGGAGCTGAGGGGACCCAGAGCCTTCCCAGGATCCCGCCCGCCTGCTGGGATCCAGGCTGGCCTGGAGCATCCCAAGTTTTAGGGAAGGGCCCTGCACCCCCTGCTGGGCACCCATGGGTGTCACAGGCTGGGCANGGGAACAGCCCCATGGGAATGCAGGAATGGCACCCCTGGATCTTTCCAGAACCTGGGAATTCCCTGGGAATGACCTCCCCAAGGATCCTTCCTGAGCTGAGAATTCCCGGGGAATGCAGGAATGACCCTCCTGGATCCTTCCCGAATCTGGGAATTCCTTGGGAATGGCCCCATGGGAATGCAGGAATGACCATCCTGGATCCTTCCCAAATCTGGGAATTCCCTGGGAATGCGGGAATGGACTCATGGGAATGCAGGAATGACCCTCAGGAATGCGGGAATGGCACCCCCGGATCCTTCCCAAACCCTGGGAATTCCTCAGGAATGCAGAAATGGCCCCTCTGGAATGTGGGAATGACCCCCCCCCACCCCACAGCTTTTGGGGCTCCAAGCGGGGTTTTGGTGATTTCCATCCTAAACACTGCTAAAAAAGCGGGATTTGGGAAAATGGAAAACAACCCCCGATCCCACAGCTTTTGGGGCTCCAAGCAAGGTTTTGGTGATTTCCATCCTAAACACTGCTAAAAAAGCGGGATTTGGGAAAATGGAAAACAACCCCCGATCCCAAAAATTGACCAAAACCCATTTTTTTTTTACTGCAAACTCCCCGAGCGCCGCCCCGGGGGAGATGGGAAGGAGCAAAAATCCATGGAAAAATCCAGGAGAATCCCTAAAAACGGCCCGAAGGGAGCGGGAATGGCGCGGGGCAGAGCCGGGCTCTGCTCCTGAAGGCACCTCGAGATTCCAGCACAGTGACCTGGCACGGAGGGAACTGGGAATGTGGGAATTCCGGCTGATCCCGGGCCAAACCATCCGCCAGAAGGAAAAAAAACCCCGAATTCCCGGGAAAAAAAATTCCTTTGGGACTCCCCTCGTGATCCCTGAGATGTCCCCGGGGTGGGCGAGGGTGGGGAGCCCGGGAATGCTGCTGGGATGGGATCCGGGATCCCTGCGGATGCTGGAGGGCTGGGAAGGGGGAAATCCCAAAAACTGTAGCACCCAGAGTAGGGAAAACCAGCAAAAAATGGGAATACTGGGGGGGAAAAAAATGGGAATATAGGAGAAAAACCAGGTGTTGGCAGCTGCTCTTTAGGGATCCCAGATCCCTAAAGGGATCCCAAGCCGGGATCAGATCCCCAAAGTGATCCCGAGCCGGCAGCCGCGGAGATTCGGGGCTGGAAAAACGGGAAACAGTAAAAAAAAAGCTGCGGAAAAATACAAATAAAATAAAAAAACAATTCAAGGCNCTGCCATACCCCGGGCATTTCCAGATTCTGAATCCCGAATCCCCACCGCTCTTGCTGCCATCCCCCCAAGTATTCCCAAATCCTGAATCCCACCCATCTCACTGCCATCCTCCCTGGCATTCCCAAATCCCGGATCCCAAATCCCATATCCCACTCCTCTCACTGCCATTCCCCCCCGGCATTCCCAAATCCCGAATCCCAAATCCTGAATCCCACCTGTCTCACTGCCATCCTCCCCAGCCAAATCCCGGATCCCAAATCCCACCCATCTCACTGCCATCCCCCAGCATTCCCAAATCCCATATCCCACTCCTCTCACTGCCATTCCCCCCTGGCATTCCCAAATCCCAAATCCCACCCATCTTGCTGCCATTCCCCTCAGCATTCCTGGCATTCCCAAATCCCACCCATCTCACTGCCATCCCCCCAAGTATTCCCAAATCCCGATTCTGTATCCCACCCATCTCACTGCCATCCCCCAGCATTCCCAAATCCCAAATCCTGTATCCCACCCATCTTGCTGCCATTCCCCCCAGCATTTCTGGCATTCCCAAATCCCACCCATCTCGCTGCCACCCCCCTGGCATTCCCAAATCCCGGATCCCAAATCCCAGATCCCACTCCTCTCACTGACATCCCCCAGCATTCCCAAATCCCAAATCCCAAATCCCACCCATCTTGCTGCCATCCCCCAGCATTCCCAAATCCCAGATCCCAAATCCCGTATCCCACTCCTCTCACTGCCATTCCCCCCTGGCATTCCCAAATCCCGAATCCCAAATCCCGAATCCCAAATCCCGAATCCCACCCATCTTGCTGCCATTCCCCCCAGCATTCCTGGCATTCCCAAATCCCACCCATCTTGCTGCCACCCCCCTGGCATTCCCAAATCCCAAATCCCGTATCCCACCCATCTCTCTGCCATCCTCCCCAGCCAAATCCCGGATCCCAAATCCCACCCATCTCACTGCCATCCCCTGGGCATTTCCAGATTCTGAATCCTGAATCCCACCTGTCTCACTGCCATCCCCCCAAGTATTCCCAAATCCCAGATCCCGTATCCCACCCGTCTCTCTGCCATCCCCCAGCATTCCCAAATCCCAAATCCCAAATCCCATATCCCACTCCTCTCACTGCCATTCCCCCCTGGCATTCCCAAATCCCAAATCCCACCCATCTCGCTGCCATCCCCCGGCATTCCCGGATCCCGGATCCTGGATCCGCACCGGTCTCGCTGACGGCGAAGGAGCAGGTGTATCCCGCGTAGATCTGGGCGGCGCCGCGCCCCGGGAAGTCGAAGAGCTTCACCAGCCGGGGAACCATCTCGTCCTTCTGCTCCGCGTGGCCCAGGCGCCCGTAGCCCCCAAAGCCCCACGAGAACACGCGCTTCTGGGAGTCCAGCACCAGCTGGGACACAGGGAAAACAGGGAAAACAGCCTCAGAAATCCCAAATCCCAAACACCAAACACCAAATCCCAGATCCCAGGAGAACACGCGCTTCTGGGAGTCCAGCACCAGCTGGGATGGGGAAAACAGGGAAAACAGCCTCAAATCCCAAATCGCAGATCCCAGATCCCAAACCCCAAATCCCAGATGAACACGCGCTTCTGGGAATCCAGCACCAGCTGGGAATAGGGAAAACAGGGAAAACAGCCTCAGAAATCCCAAATCCCAAACACCAAATTCCAAATCCCAGATCCCAGGAGAACACGCACTTCTGGGAGTAGGGAAAACAGCCTCAGATCCCAAATCCTAAATCCCAGATCCCAAATCCCAGATCCCAAAAGAACACGCGCTTCTGGGAGTCCAGCACCAGCTGGGAATAGGGAAAACAGGGAAAACAGCCTCAGAAATCCCAAATCCCAGATCCCAGAAGAACACACGCTTCTGGGAATCCAGCACCAGCTGGGAAACAGGGAAAACAGCCTCAGATCCCAAATCCTAAACACCAAATTCCAAATCCCAGATCCCAGGAGAACACGCGCTTCTGGGAGTAGGGAAAACAGCCTCAGATCCCAGATCCCAAATCCCAGATCCCAGGGGAACACGTGCTTCTGGGAATCCAGCACCAGCTGGGAAACACAGAAAACAGGGAAAACAGCCTCAGATCCCAAATCCCAAATCCCAGATCCCAAATCCCAGATCCCAGGAAACACGCGCTTCTGGGAGTCCAGCACCGGCTGGGAATAGGGAAAACAGGGAAAACAGCCTCAGAGATCCCAAATCCCAAACCCCAAACACCAAATCCCAAATCCCAGGGGAACACGCGCTTCTGGGAGTAGGGAAAACAGCCTCAGATCCCAAATCCCAAATCCCAAATCCCAAAAGAACACGCGCTTCTGGAAGTCCAGCACCAGCTGGGAATAGGGAAAACAGGGAAAACAGCCTCAGAAATCCCAAATCCCAAACACCAAATCCCAGATCCCAGGAGAACACGCGCTTCTGGGAATCCAGCACCAGCTGGGAATAGGGAAAACAGCCTCAAATCCCAGATCCCAAATCCCAAATCCCAGGAGAACACGCGCTTCTGGGAATCCAGCACCAGCTGGGACACACGGAAAACAGGGAAAACAGCCTCAGAGATCCCAAATCCCAGATCCCAAATCCCAGATCCCAAACCCCAAATCCCAAGAGAAACGTGCTTCTGGGATCCAGCACCAGCTGGGATGGGGACAGAGAAAACAGCCTCAGATCCCAAATCCCAGATCCCAAATCCCAGAACACGCGCTTCTGGGATCCAGCACCAGCTGGGATGGAGGGAGGGAGCAGGGGTTCAGAGACACCAAATCCCAGGAAAAGCCATTCCTGGGAATGCAGCCCCAGCCGGGAAGGGGGGAGCAGGGGCTGAGAGCTGCCCTCTCCCATTCCCGTCCATTCTCCCTCTCCCATTCCCATTCCTGCACCCATTCCCATTATCCCATTCCCACATTCCTGATCCCATATTCCTGTACTGTGTGGCAATTCCCACATTCCCAATCCCACATTCCCGTACTGTGTGGTTGGCCCCGCAGGCTATGACCCTGACCCATTCCCATTATCCTGATCCCATTATCCCATTCCCCTATTCCTGTACCCTGTGGTTGGTCCCACATGCCTGACCCATTCCCACATTCCCATTATCCCAATCCCATATTCCCTATTCCCATACTGTATGGTTGGCCCCGCAGGCCATGTCCCTGACCCATTCCCATATTCCCAATCCCATTATCCCATTCCCACATTCCCATACCGTGTGGCTGGCCCTGCAGGCTGTGACCCTGACCCATTCCCATTATCCTGATCCCATTATCCCATTCCCCTATTCCTGTACCCTGTGGTTGGTCCCACATGCCCGACCCATTCCCACATTCCCAATCCCGTTATCCCAATCCCATTATCCCGATCCCATTATCCCAATCCCACATTCCAACATTCCCATACCGTGTAGTTGGCCCTGCAGGCTATGACCCTGAGCCATTCCCATTATCCCAATCCCATTATCCCAATCCCACATTCCCACATTCCCATACCGTGTAGTTGGCCCAGCAGGCCATGTCTCTGACCCATTCCCACATTCCCAATCTCATATTCCCATTCCCACATTCCCAATCCCATTATCCCAATCCCACATTCCCACACTCCCATACCGTGTAGTTGGCCCTGCAGGCCATGTCTCTGACCCATTCCCATTCCCACATTCCCAATCCCATTATCCCGATCCCATTTTCCTGATCCCACATTCCCATGTTCCCGTACCGTGTGGTTGGCCCTGCAGGCCACATCCCTGACCCATTCCCGTTATCCCAATCCCACATTCCCGATCCCACATTCCCGATCCCACATTCCCACCCTCCCGTACCATGTGTTTGGCCCTGCAGGCCACATCCCTGACCCATTCCCGTTATCTCAGTCCCATTATCCCACATTCCCATTCCCACATTCCCGATCCCACATTCCTGATCCCACACTCCCGTACCGTGTAGTTGGCCCTGCAGGCCATGTCTCTGACCCATTCCCAATCCCATATTCCCATTCCCACATTCCCAATCCCGTTATCCCAATCCCATTACCCCGATCCCATTATCCTGATCCCACATTCCCACACTCCCGTACCATGTGGTTGGCGCTGCAGGCCATGTCCCTGATCCATTCCCGTTATCCCAATTCCACATTCCCAATCCCACATTCCCACACTCCCGTAACATGTGGTTGGCCCTGCAGGCCATGTCCCTGATCCATTCCCATTATCCCAATCCCATTATCCCAATCCCACATTCCCACGTTCCCGTACCGTGTAGTTGGCCCTGCAGGCCACATTCCCGACCCAATCCCATTATCCTGATCCCACATTCCCACGTTCCTGTACCATGTAGTTGGCCCAGCAGGCCACGTCCCTGACCCATTCCCACATTCCCAATCCCATTATCCCGATCCCATTTTCCCGATCCCATATTCCCACACTCCCGTACTGTGTGGTTGGCCCCGCAGGCCACGTCCCTGACCCATTCCCATTATCCTGATCCCANCGGGAGGTGTTGGTGGCGCCCCAGAAGAACAACCCACCTGCAAGGGAGCCTGTCAGGGCACGGAGCCCGGAATTCCCGAATCCTGGGAATCCCAACTGTCAGGGATCCCAGATTCCAGAATTCCCGAATCCTGGGAATCCCAACTGTCAGGGACCCCAGGAACCCCACCTGTCAGGGATCCTGGAATTCCCAAATCCCAGCAATCCCACCTGTCAGGGCACAGAGCCTGGAATGCCCAAATCCTGGGAATCCCAACTGTCAGGGATCCCAGCAATCCCACCTGTCAGGGATCCCAGATTCCAGAATTCCCAAATCCCAGGAATCCCACCTGTCAGGGCACAGAGCCTGGAATTCCCAAATCTGGGAAATCCCAACTGTCAGGGATCCCAGGAACCCCACCTGTCTGGGTACAGATCCCTGAGAATTCCTAAATCCTGGGAATCCCACCTGTCAGGGTACTGATCCCTGAATTCCCAAATCCCAGGAATCCCACCTGTCAGGGCACGGAGCCTGGAATTCCCGAATCCTGGGAATCCCAACTGTCAGGGATCCCAGCAATCCCACGTGTCAGGGATCCCAGATTCCAGAATTCCCAAATCCTGGGAATCCCACCTGTCAGGGATCCCAGCAATCCCACCTGTCAGGGATCCCAGATTCCGGAATTCCCAATCCCAGGGCACGGAGCCCGGAATTCCCGAATCCTGGGAATCCCAACTGTCAGGGATCCCAGATTCCAGAATTCCCAAATCCTGGGAATCCCAACTGTCAGGGCACAGAGCCTGGAATTCCCAAATCTGGGAAATCCCAACTGTCAGGGATCCCAGGAACCCCACCTGTCAGGGATTCCAGAATTCCCGAATCCTGGGAATCCCAACTGTCAGGGATCCCAGGAACCCCACCTGTCAGGGATCCCAGATTCCAGAATTCCCGAATCCTGGGAACCCCACCTGTCAGGGATCCCAGACTCCAGAATTCCCAATCCCGGCAATCCCACCTGTCAGGGCACAGAGCCTGGAATTCCCAAATCTGGGAAATCCCACCTGTCTGGGATCCCGGAATTCCCAAATCCCAGGAACCCCACCTGTCAGGGCATGGAGCCCGGAATTCCCGAATCCTGGGAATCCCGCGTGTCAGGGATCCCAGCAATCCCACGTGTCAGGGCACAGAGCCTGGAATTCCCAAATCTGGGAAATCCCAACTGTCAGGGATCCCAGCAATCCCACCTGTCAGGGATCCCAGATTCCAGAATTCCCAAATCCTGGGAATCCCGCCTGTCAGGGATCCCAGGAACCCCACCTGTCAGGGTACAGATCCCTGAGAATTCCTAAATCCTGGGAATCCCACCTGTCAGGGTACTGATCCCAGAATTCCCAAATCCCAGGAATCCCGCCTGTCAGGGATCCCAGGAACCCCACCTGTCAGGGATCCTGGAATTCCCAAATCCCGAATCCCAAATCCTGAATCCCGCCTGTCTCACTGCCATCCTCCCCAGCCAAATCCTGGATCCCAAATCCCACCCATCTCGCTGCCATCCCCCAGCATTCCCAAATCCCAAANACGGGAACGGGAATGAGAATAGCCCATGGCCACCGGGAATGGGAACGGGAAAGGGTCAGCTGGGAGTGGGAATAGCCCATGGGCACCTGGAACGGGAAAGGGAATGGATCAGCTGGCAATGAGAATAGGTCATGGCCACCTGGAAGGGGAAAGGGAACAGGAATGGGAATAGCCCATGGGCACCTGGAATGGGAATGGGTCAGCTGGGAATGGGAATAGCCCATGGCCACCGGGAATGGGAACGGGAATGGGTCTGCTGGGAGTGGGAATAGCCCATGGCCACCGGGAATGGGAGTGGGAACAGGAATGGGAATAGCCCATGGGCACCTGGAACGGGAAAGGGAA